CCACCTTTGAAAAGGATGTGTATTTTTCTTGTTCCAGTTAAAGGGCACTCTTCTTTCCCTTTGCTGAATGGGAGAGGAACCACAGGCCTTTTATACTAAAACAGTAAGATTTCTGGAAAGCAGTATCTTTTTAAAAAGAAGGTGTGACTTTTCAGGTTTCCAGAGCCAGTGATGAGCAAAGACCCAGAAAAGTTCTATGGACTTTATCACACGGGCAAGAGACAGGATAATAGCGCTTATGCTCCCATCAAAATCATGCAATAACGGGATACTTTTCGCATGACGTCACCATTATTGCATGATTATTCCATGCCGCTTTTTATTCATGGGAAAATCCTGTGAATAAAAAGCAGCACAATTTTGCCACTTTATTCATGGGATAATCACATGGTAATGTATCAAAAGCTTCCCGTTATTGCACGATTTTGATAGGAGCATAGCACTATTATCCCATCTCTTTTGCCCGTGTGATAAAGTCCTATGATTGTTCAATTGTCTGTTTGTTGTTGTTAACTGCCCTCAAGTTGATCTCACCCCATGGTGACCCTGCTAATGAGACATCTTCAGGAACCCGTCCTCCACTGCTCATACTCATGATCTCTTTAATAAAGTCCATCCATCTCTAGCATATGGCCTTCCCCTCTTTCTACTTCCTTCCACCTTTCCTGGCATTATTGTTTTTTCCAATGATTCAAACCTTCTCACCATGTTTCCAAAGTATGCCAGCCTATGTTTTGACATCTTGGCTTCCAGGGAGATTTCTGGCTGGATCTGCTCTAGGACCCATGTGTTTGTCTTTTTGGCTGTCCATGGTATCCTCAGCACTCTTCTTCAGCAACACATCTCAAATGAATTGATTTTCCTCCTATCTTCTTTTTTAACTGTCCCACTCTTATGTCCATACATAGTAATGGGGAATACAATGGTTTGTATGATTCTAACTTTTGTGCTGAGTTGTATATCTTTGCATTTTAGGATCTCATCTAGTTCTTTCATAGCTGCACTCCCTATTCTTAATCTTCTGATTTCCTGGCTGCAGTCAGTTTCTATCAATATTTGATCCCATGTATGAGAACTCTTTTGCACTTTCTATTTCCTCATTGTGTAGTTTGAATTTGTGTAAGTTCTCTGTGGTCATTTTGTTTTCTTTATGTTCAACATTAAGCCTGCCCCTTTGCACTTTCTTCTTTGATCTTCCTTAGTAGGTGTTCCAGGTCTGTGAGGTTTTCTGCTAGTACTATGGTGTCATCAGCATATCTCAGATTGTTGATATTCCTACCTCCTATTTTCACTCCCCCTTCTTCTGTGTCCAAGCCTATGTTCTGCATATAAGTTGAACAGATAGGGTGATTATTCCTCCTCCTCCTCCTCCATTATTTCAAAGCATTATGAAATCCGAATGCTTATTGGCCAAATTGACTATCCAGCTGCTTTCATTCTCTCAACTGGCTGGAGAGATCTGTATGAATTGAAAATGCTTTTCCAGAGTCCCCACCAGTAATAAATGAGGCTTACTATTGTGAGTGATATCACTATTTTTGCAATAGTTTGGACATGCCCTAAGATCCTTTTTGACTGAAGTGGGATAAAAGCATGTTAAAATAAATAAATAAATAAATAAATAAATAAATAAATAAATAAAGGGGGATGAGGAAGATTGAGGTCTCAGTGGCTTCGGTGGGTGAGCGGGCTACCCGGAGTTTCAGGTTGCACTTTCCCCACCCCTGCTAAAGTCTGACCATAGTTTCCTTGGCTACACAATGGAAATTGAAGTTTTTCTTTCCACCCAAAAAAAAAAAAAAAAAAAAAAAAGGGAGGGGGGAAGAAAAAGAGAGAAAGAGAAATTTCACTTGAATCCAATCCAGGCAAACTGAAGCACTTTTAGATCTCATTGATTTCAACTGGGAGTACGGTAGATAATCAAATCCCTAACAACTTAGTGGGATTGAAAACTTCACTACTGCCAGAATTTGTGCCATTATTTTAACTTCTACAATGCAGTTGATGACACATGCACACAGCTCCTAAATGTACTTACTCACAAATAACATAAACTTATTTCAATAAATTAAGATTGCATATTTGCCTCTTTCAAATAGCACATGAAACAGGCAGGCATCTTTTAAATACCTCTAATCTAAAAGTTTTTGCCAGAGCTTAGAAACATTACTTTTCAGCACTATTGCTCCCAGAATCCTCCAACCCACACAGGCCATGCTATGTAGGCATTTCTGAGAATGGTAGAGTAAAAAAAATGTTTTGAACTCTGAGGGTTGCTTGGGGAATGTAAAGGATGGTATGAAAAGTGATGATGGGAAACTTGACTGTTGGCGCCGAGTGGCACACATCTGATGCCATCTTTGGCTGTGTCTCTGCTTTTCTGCCCCACTGGCCAGGGAAAAGGCAGCCATTGTCCTTTCAGGGCTTTTCACTGGCAGCAGAATGGTCAGTGAGCACTGATAGCACAAACTCCATTCACGGAATGAGGGATGGGACAAAGATCCAATATCCGAGGAATGACAGTTCAGACAGATGCCTGGTGGATTACCAAAGTGTGTCTGTGTGTGAGACAGCATCACCCGGGCACCCTGAGGACCCATGAAGCAATCTTCCCAGGGTCTGTGGCTCAGATGTTGCATTCCACATCTTGCCCACACTGGCAGCAGCATAGTCACAAAAGGAGCTACATTTATTTGAATGCCACTGAGTTGAAATCCCTCATTATTTGAACCGAGTATCCCTGACTCTCATAAGCAGTACTCTTTTATTGGCATGTCTGATTGTTTGGAGGCCATATTCTCACTAAGGCAACTAAAACAACAGTAGCTTTCAATGGCTTAACACATTAGTTACTGTCCACATGCTTGTTTTAATATGGTTTCAGGGTATTTCATGAGGTATTGGCTGATCTCCA